TCAAGCAATCTCAAGGTTCCCTTTTCTAAGTTGATGATGCCTTCTTCTTTCACAAGATCTACTGGATTCCTCAGATACCTCCTAGTGGATAATTAGGAAGCTGTTATCCATCATAATTTGTTGAATTTTTCTTTTAAAAGACCCACAAATACTGAACAAAGGGCTCAGAAAATAGTACATTGGGAGATAACACTTGGTTACAGTTCATTGGTAAAGGGTACCAGTTGGTAGATCCTCTCTGAATGTGGGATGCTGCCTTCTGCTGAGAGAGAGCCCAGAAAAGAATCACCACGTGGGCAGTGTAGGTGAAATTGTATCACTTGATGATGTGTGGTGAGGTGGCGGTTAATGGCCACTCATCCATGCAAGAGTCCATTTTTCCTACTTGGATGCAATTGTGTATTTTATTAACCTTTGCTTTCTTTTATTTTCATTTACGGTAATGAAATGGGAATGTGAGGAAGCCATTTTTGCCAGCCTCCCTCCAGCAGGACCACATTAACTCTGCCCAGCAGAGGAAACCCATCTGCTTTTAAAGGCTTGTCATTGCCAAAAACAAAATAGGGTGAATTGAGAAATATAATATGCATAGATTAGGAACCAAACCAACTGCATAATTCATAAGCTGAATCAAAGATAACATTTAAGTAGAGAGAGTAAATAGTTAACAAATATTCAGGCTTGTTACCTGGGTGCAGTTGCTGGGTGCAAGGGGCTTGCATCTGTAAGCCCAGTACTTTGGGAGGCCAAGGTGGGAGGATCGCTGGAGTCCAGGAGGATGAGGCTGTAGTAAGCTATGATCACACCATTGTACTACAGCCTGGATGACAGAGTGACATTTCTCTAAAAAAAAAAGGTAATCAATTAAATTAAAACAAATATTCAACTTACAAGTAATCTAACAGTCCTTTTCTAAACTAAAAGGACCTTATGTTCTTTTCAATGCATTGATTCCGGGGACCATATAATTTTCAAGCAAAAATATTCAGCCATGATCCAAACGTCATGTTAGTTTATGCTATTGCTAAATATACGTAATGGAGTGTGGCATCATTTATAAAATATACCTTTCATAACTGCCTTATGATTTATTGACATTTTTTGTCTCCCCGGCTTAGTGAGCAAAAATATATATATATTTTTTTTTTTTTTGGTGAGAAAGTAGGATTTATTAAGAAGACAGAATTGTGGGAGCAGACCTGAAAGAGGTTGCCCGTGAGCAAAAAATCTATAAATATTGTTCAATTCTGGGAGATTCTGAATTAATTGTGTACTCTGAAACTAAATAGACTGCTGCTGGTTTCAAACCAAAACTTGATTCTTTTAGGCTAAATCCAAGGTTACAAGTTTCTTTTGCTTCTGCAATAAGTATGAACTTGCTACCACAACCTTAGAGTGCAAGATATGTTCTAGTCCTTTATTAAATCTGGATGTAAGCCCGCTTGCCAGGATGATGAGATCGTCGATTTCACTTAAGGTTTTTTATTTTTTTTAATTTTAAAGATGTGGGGTACAATTCAGGGTTAAGTACACAAATATTCATTATGCAGGTACCCTTGTTGATGAGGTGTGTTCCCCCACCCTCCTGCAGCATCCCACTTCTGCCAATCCCACCCCTCCACCCCAGGCAGTTTCCCACAATCCTTTTCTTATAGCATTACAATAATTGTTCAAGGTCCACGTATGAGTGAGAACGTGTGATATTCAGTTTTTTGTTTCTGTGATAGATCACCAAATGCCCAGCCTCACTTGACATCACTTATGGTTTAAACCTCCCTGCCTGTGTTCGTTGTCTGGGTTGGGAGGAGGTAGTAGCTTTCATGAGGCCCAGAGAACAAGGAAGGCTAGCTGTTCATGGTGACCAGGGAGCCTAGCCCACCCGACAGCAAGGCGCTGATGCCCAGGTAGGCCCAGAGGTGCCTACTACCCTTCCGCTTCCCCCTTCTGATCACAGCCTCACCTCTGCACTGCCTGCAGGCCTTGCTCTTTACCAGACAACCCCCTGAGGCATCTGGAAGCCATTCCCTTCCACAGGGCGGTAGGGTCAGCACAGACCTCTACCACTTCAGGTCCAGGACAAAAGAACAAATCCCCTCTCGGTATCTTATAAGCTTCCCTTTAGCCTCCTGGATTGGTCAGTGGGTCTTGACTGAGAACAGCTTCTGGGGACAAGGAGAGAAAATGCCTTGAATTCGTTCACTCATCTATTCATGGACAGCATATTTTTGACAAATATTTATTGGCTATTTATGGAGCACCTACTGTCTGCCAGAAGACACTAGGGATACAGCAGGATTCACAACAGGAGAGAGAAAACATAAACTAAAGTTTCAATAAGTTAACCTTCCACATTCACTAAAGCAAAACACAGCCTAAGACTGTTGTTTATGGTCAGAAGTGTTCATCATAATTACTTCATATTTGTTTTCATTCCACAAAAATTCTTAGGGCTTCTTAGATGATGCCTCGCACATGCATGAACCAGCCAGGGGCAGCATTTTTGTGTTTTGCATCTTCCTCAAATAGCCGTGTGAGCACAGCCTCCCAGAGAGGCAGTGTTGAACACTGATTATGAGCACAGCTGAAGCACCTGCCCTTCCACTTACTAGCTGTGTGACTTTGGGTGAGTTAATTAAGCTCTCTGTACCTTCATGTTGTCATTTAAATGGAATCGATGACAATACCTACCTCACGAAGTTGTTGAAAGAACAAAATGAATTATAGTATCTAATGTACTTAGAGCAGCACCTGGCACATAATGAACCCTGGTGGTACTATGTGTCATAACAAAAGAGAGGGGTCCTCTTCAAGACCAGTGATAGTGGAGAATGATGAACATTAGCTGAACTGTGTAGATGCTTAGGGCTGTGTGAAGAGCAAAGTTGTGCCATAGAACAGTGAGTTCCAGACATGACTCCTTTTCAAAACCACCAGAGGAACTTTTCAAATATCGAATATCCAGGCCCCAGCCCCAGAGTTTCCCATTTAGTTGGTTTGGGATGAGGCCCAGGCCTGTTCAGGTAATTCCCATGGAAGCCAGGATAGAGCATCTCTGCTCTAGGACCATCTGACCATGTACCAAAAAGTCACCCCTTCCACTGCTCCCTACTCTGCACTAAAAGAGGGTGGAGAAAGTCACTCTACAAGCCCCTGTCCTCCTATTCCCCAAGACCTGGCTATCTCATCAGTTTAACTCCTTATCCTGAGGCACATAGGCATTAGTGGGCACCATCGCTTACCAGGCCCTGTGTTGGTAAGGGGAGGGAAAAAAATAACCATACAAAATTCCTACCCTCATGAATCCCAAGGTAGAGCAGGGAGACAGACAAGCACACTAAATAATTACGTGGAGAAAACTTGGAAATGACCTGAATGTCCAGGCAGAGGGGTCTGAACTACGGTGTCCCCTTACTAGGAAATCTCCAGGGGAAAGAATGAGGTGTATCTATACGTCCAAATGGAAACTCTTCAAGGCATATTGTTGAGTTGCAGAATGGTATGCGATCGATGCTTCACATTTGTTTTTTGAAACACATTACATGCACATTACCATACACTTTACTCTGGGGGCATAAGTGGGTATGTAACTGCTAAGAAAAAGGGCTTAGTGGAACTCTTGTTATTTTTCATGATTAATATTTTTCAAAAAGACTGTATTCCTTTTTTGAGAAATTAATAGCATTTTAAATATTATGGCACTCTTGGGGGGGTCTTCTGGAAATATTTATATGTCATTAAGTTGTTTACTACACTGCTATTAATTGTAGCAAAGCAATTGACCTAACCAGACATGATTTTATCTAAGTGACTCATTATTATTTAACATAGAGAAATATCCTGAGAAATGGGACATAAGACAGTGGCAATAGAGGAAAAGCAAAAGGAAGAGCATTCTGGCTGGTCATGGTGACTCACACCTATAATCCCAGCACTTTGGGAGGCCCAGGCAGGAGGATTGCTTGAGCCCAGAAGTTCAAGACCAGCCTAGACAACATAACAAGACCTCGTCTCTACAAAAAAATCAAAAAAGTAACCAGATGTGGTGGTGCACACTTGTAGACCCAGCTACTTGGGAGGCTGAGGCAGAAGGATCGCCTGAGCCCAGGAGATCGAGGCTATGGTGAGCCATGATCATGCCACTGCACTCCAGCCTGGGTGACAGAGTGAGACCCCCAACTCAAAAAAAAAAAAGTGCTTTCTACATGAAGATCTGCTGTGTACATAAGTAGAAAGGCCTGGAAGCCACCCCTCCATCTCTGTAGTTTTTATGTTATTTTTACCTGAGACTGATCTTCCTAACAAACTGAAAGCTCAAATATCAGTTTTTAGATATAGCCTTCTAAAGGAGACTGTCTATCCTTACCACATATTAGAATCATTTGGGGAGGTATGCTAGGATATCAATGCCTGAAGTCCAGACCAATTAAAGTAGGATCTTTCAGGGATGAGACCCAAGGATTGGTTTTAATATGTCCAGGCCTAAGACCCGTTGTTGGAAGACTCAGGCGTGCATGCTCCTACACATGTTGACACCATTCCAGCTTGGGCAACATCATGCCTGAAAAGTATTCCAAAATGTCACCAATCACAGATGATTCTTTTTTTTTTTTTTTTTCCGAGTTGAAGTCTCACTCAGTGGCCCAGGCTGGAGTGCAGTGGCACGTTCACAGTCGACCTGCTGGGCTCCAGCGATCCTTCTGCCGCAGCCTTCCAACTAGTCGGAACCACAGGCACGCACTACCATACCTGGCTAATTTTTTTTTTTTATTCATTGTAGAGCTGAGGTCTCAACAAGTTGTCCAGGCAGGTCTCAAACCCGCAGGCTCAGGCAATCCACTTGCCTCGGCCTCCCAAAGTGCTGGGATGACAAGCTGAGCCACTGAGCCCGGCCCACAGATGTTTCTTGAACTCTAGGGAAGTGAGGGGGAAAAGGAAAAATACTTGTATTTTTGGATCATGTGATTCCAATACCATAACACCATGTATCTGGTTTATTTCAGGCTCGACTGACCAAAGAACATCGCTGGGGAAGTGCGTTACTTTCTAGAAACCATTCCTTAGAAGAAGAATTTGAAAGGGCAAAAGCGGCAGTGGAGGTAACTTTTTTAAAAATATTTTTACTGTTTTGTGTTTCTGAGAGTTGCATTCAAAAAATAATAATAATCAGGATTATGATCTTCGGAATGAGACTTACTACCAGAGAGCACTTGAGTTCCCACCAGGGATGACGAATCAATGTCACCTCTTATGTCAACAGACGAGCAATGACTGTCTGGAGTTCTGGGTGAGAAGGAACTCTAAGTCTAGGCTGGGTTCTGGGTGAACTAACGCCATGCATTTGCCGGGCCTGGGTGAGCTAAGGTCATGCCTGACATTTTTATCTCGCTAACATCTAGCACAAGATCTTGCTGCCCCTGGGATATTATATATTTTCCTGACTAGGTAGGAAAAGGACATGGCTGGAACATTCTAGCTAATGGATAGTCCATCTTGACTTGAGCCAATTTTATTATTAAGAGTGCTCAAAACATTGCTGGTAATTCAAATGAAATACTTGATGGGAACACGGATTTCCATATTTAGGCTTCTAATAAGAAAGAGAGAGTGAGAGTAGGGAAGGGGGAGGGAGAGAGGGAGAGAGGAAGGGAGGGAAGCCAAAAAAAACCCAGACAAACAAAAAGCAGCTTTTGCAGGGTGTTTTATCCATTTCCTTCCTTCCTGGGTAGAATCGCAAAGACTACATCACAGATGCGATCTCTGATATTCATTGAGATTGCTGTTTGAGAGTGGAGCTTTTCACCAAACTTCTTATGAACTTGTTAGAACCTCCATTTCTATTATGGATATGAAATCTTGAAAACCGAAAGCATTCCTAGGATATGGTTTATTTATGTGACTTGTCTTCCCAGAATTTGGATGAAATTTTTATACTATGGGTGGTCTTTCAGTACCTCTATACTTGAAGTACAATAAAATCACATTTGCAGTTTAATATTAAAAGGATTCTATTCTGGGAAAGAGTTTCAGCCATAATTTTATATCATTATTCAGAAACCCAAGAAGAGAACACTTTCATCTCACCACAATACAATCTACCCAAATTTCTTCTGGTAACTTTAACCTTTTTTAATTTAGAAAAAAAGCTAATGAATATTTAGTGCTCTTGAGCATGATCAAGTGATATATTTGGTTGAGACCAGCTGAGTTCAATCAAAGCGTTCAAATGCATGGAGCCTGTAGCTTAATTTATTTTAAACACAGGTTTTCCAAGCTTAAAAGCTAATTTAAATTTATTTTTTGAACTCCTACTGTGTGTAGCACACTGAATTAGCACTAAAAAGATTATTTAGAACCACAGAATCTTGACTAAGTAAAGACATTAACATTTATCTGGTTCCATATATAATGAGAAAGATAATGAATTCACACTCAAAAGACTTACTATAAAGTAACAGATCAACAAGAAAAAAAATACCTATCTATCTATCAAGATATATATATTCACAAAATCATTTGATCTTAGTTTTGGCAAAGACCTTAGAAGTTACTTATCCCCATCAGGCATACAAACTCAAATCTGTTTTCTTATAAAGCACTTGACAAATTATTACCCTGTTTCTTCTTGAACACTTCCAGTTAGGGGAAACTCACTTCTTTTCAAAAAAGCTTATTTCAGTTTTGGACAGTACTAATTTTCAACAAGTTCTTTCTTACATTTTACTTAAATTGACCTGCCAGCAACTTGCAGTTCTGTTTAATCTTGGTTTCACCTTCTCTGGACCAAAGTGGAATTAGTTTAATCCCTTCTCTACATGATGCCCGCCTCACCCTAGCAAGTCACATCTTCTGACTTCTCCTTGTCTATGTTGGGACCCGACTTGTCACTAATATCTATATAACGACATACATCTCATTAGCCAATGTAGGCCTCAGTTTCCACACCTCTTTGGTCCTTTCCAGTTACAAAATCCTAGAAGGCTATAAGTTACTTCAAGTAATTATTCATTATGCAAACACTACGGCTGTCTAGCTGTACCGGCTGCTGAACTAGATACTCAAGATAAATCAATGAGCCAGCCTTCATTAGCTATCTAATAATAGCACAGTCTAGAGGACCAACTCAGACAAATCACTTACTCCTTCTACTTTAGTTTCATATCCTCTATAAGTTGAGGGGCTTGGGTTTTTAATATAGTAAAACTCTATGAGTATGTACCTTCAAGTGAAAATAATGGTAACTGCAGAATTCCCAGCAAACAGGAAAACTGCAAGCAAATTTTTTTAGCCAGAAGCCTAGTACTGAGAAGCTTCCCTAAAGAATGAGGGGAGATGATGTCAACCAGAAAGTATGAACAGGTCTGGAGAAAAAAGATGTAAATGTAAAGCATTTACACTAAGCTGATGGTAAATCATGCCTCTAAAATGTCACACTTATGTGGACTATTTACTTCCAGATATTCTTATCTAGGGTGTCATCTAAATTCATAGTAAGAAAACATAATAATATGCATCAATGAGTCTTGGAAATACTCATGCCCATTGACCCAACTACTTCTTAGAATGTATCCTAGAGAAATAGTCATAAAAGTTTACAATATTTTATCTACAGAATTTTATTAAATAGTAAAAATTTGGAACAAGCCTAAGTGCCCCATAATAGAGGATTTAGCTACAATATATTATATCCTTATAGCAAAATTCTTTGTAGCTATTAAAATGACATTATGGAAAAATATTTAAGATTATGTAAAAATGTTTAATGATAGTTGCAATACTGTAATATAGATGAATAGTTTTCCAGTATGATCCTTAAATGTAAATGTAAAATGATAATAGTATAATAACGAACATGTTATAATATGTACTGTAAGCCAGGCAATCAAGAGCCTTACATGGATTATCTCTTTTGATCCTCACAGCAATCCTATGAAGAAGATACTATTACTGTCCCTATTTTTCAGATGAGAAAACTGAGGGCTAAGGATATTGCAGACAGTTATGTGTGATTTTATAAGCAATTCAGATAGGTTGAAAAGTGAACTACCCCACTTAGCAAGTTGCAAAGCCATGATTCTCACCTAAACTCCAGCGTCTATATTCTGAACCATCATACTATACGAGCATAAAAAGTGTCTGTCTTAGTCCATTTGAGATGCTATAACAAAATAGCCTTAGAGAGGATATTTTATGAACAATAGAAATCTGCTGCTCACAGTTCTGGAGGCCAAAAAGTCTAGGATCAAGGAACTGGCAGATTCTATGTCTTTTGAGGACCTGTTCCTCATAGATGGCACTTTCTTGCTATGTCCTCACATGGTGAAAGGACAAAAGAGGCTAACGAAACCTCTTGGGCCTCTTTTAGAAGGGGAACTAATCTCATGCACGAGAGCTCCACCCTCTTGAACCAGATCACTTCCCAAAAGCCCTGCCTCTTAATACCATCACCTTGAAGATTAAGTTCAACATATGAATGGGGGGTGGGACACATATTCAGACCATAGCAGAGTCTGTACTCACTTGTTAACAGTAGTTATTTCTGGGTGACTAGTTTGGGAGTGACTTTTTTTTTTCTACTGTTGGCTTATCTGTATTTTCCAAATGTTCTGTCATTAAGATGTATGATGTTGGTAATCAAGAGGAAGTTGTAAGTTATAGACACTATGGTGAGATATAAAATTCTTAAAAGAACTCAGAAGAATGGCACTGAAATTGCCTTCATCAGAGGCAGTTTTAAGTACTAATAACATCCAGATGAAAATCATGCCTGGAGCAAGTTGAATTTCTCCGAAATCTCTGCCTTATGTTTTCTTTTTTCTTTCTTTCTTTCTTTTTTTTTTTTTTT